CATATTTAGACAAGTAGTATAGCTTTACTAAAACTCTGTATTGCTATATTACAATATATTGTATATGCATATTGTATTGGTTAGTGCTATATATGCTGTGCTGTATACTCTGATTTAATCTCCAAAATTTTTTAATCATTGATTTTCAATTAACAACTGCTCAAAATTTGGTTAATTGCAGGAAAATAAATTTTCTTTCAAAAATTTAAATTGTATATAAATATAATATAAAGTTTTTATACTTGTCATATATGGATATTCAAATATAAGCAATTATGACTTTATATTTTTTAAGTTATAAATTAAGTATTTGCTTATATTAGAAAAAATTTTTAGAGGTTACTTATATTTGAAGATATATAATATTTATTTTAATTACAGGTCTTAAGTAATATTAATTAACTATTTCAATTTGATATATTTCATCAAAATTGTTCTAGCCTGCAAATTTATATCAATTGCACCAATATATATTATATAATTTCTCAATAATTATTTAATAAAGTTTATTTTTTGGCAGTATTAGCTAAATACATCTAATATTAGATTATATTATATGCATACAATGCTTTTAGATAGTTATTCAATAAACTATTAAATCAATAAAGGTATAAGATGATTAACAAATAAATATAAACTAGTATTGAGTTTATTTTTGTTTAAATTAACTCAATTAGAAATATCAAAAAAGAATGTGGCAACTTAAAGTAGTAGTAAAGTTGTTACTTCCAAACAGCAGGTTTAGAGTTCAAATTTTACTAAAGACATTTTTAGAATAATAGGCCTGTGTACTGGTAACATTTATTCAATAATTTGTTGGATAATCAACTGTAATCTTGGTACTACCATCTTTAAATAGAAGCTTTCAGATAATTTAAATTCAAAGAACCAGAATAATTGAAACCTGTTTGGCAAGACCCAAGCAATAAAGTAGTGAAGATCTTTAATAATACTGTGGAAAGACAGAACTGAAGACTTAAGAACCAGATAAAAATCCTGAGGCAAGAAGGGTCTACTAACCTGGCTGTTAAAGTTATACTAAAGAAAAGGTCTTATATTATAGAATTAGGAACCAAGAGAAGTAAAACCAGAAGGTACTTAAAGCCAAGATATAATGATCTATCTGGACTAACTAGTTTGGTAGTTTAGAAGGAATTGGTATAAAGACAGTTCAATATAAGTATCAGAATTGGAATAAACCTTGTAATGGTACAAATACTAGAATTGTATAGTTTATAGTTAGCTCTAACTGCTAATGGTGATTTTAGCAACTGCTAATAGTAATTTTAGCTGCTGCAGAAGGTATTTGCAGCCTAATCTAAAAATGTATAAGACATAGAAAGATTAGAAATATGTACTATCTCTTCTCTAGAGTAAGCTAGTAAGTATAAAACTCTACTAGGTTATCTATAAAATTATAGTACAAGTAGTATAATATATATTAATCTGAGTAGTTTTTAATTGAAATAGCATGAAGTTATGGTTTGACATGATCATAGTGGTGGTGCATAATGGGGATATCAGAGTGTTTAAATGGGTAATCTTCTAGTTAGATTACAGGTAGGCATATAGTATAGAACCTTCAGGTGGACTACTTAAATAAGCAATCAAAAGTTGTATATATAGCTAAATATACTCTTATTAATCAAGAATGTACTACTAAAATATCTAATAAAAATCTGCCTTTTTATGATATTGCGAAGATAAAAAAAAAGCCAGAAGTAATTTTGTTAGCAAAACCTAAGGTTTTGTCAATGACAAAGTTAAAACTAGGTTTTGTCTGTTGTCAAAAAATTTTTAAAATGACAAAATGATAAAAGGTAACAAAAAATGATAAAAGTAACAAAACTAAAAAAGTCAAAACTAACAAAAATAACAAAACTAATAAAAGATAATAAAATTAATAAAAAAATAATAAATAAAATTAATAAAATTAAAAAATATGTTTATATATTTATAGTATATTCATTTTAAAAATAAAAATATAATCTACTTTAAATTGATCTGTATCATTTTACCAATAATTACTTTACCAACATGCCATTTTTCAACAATCAATTTATTAACTAGATTATCCACTAACAATTATTTTAGCGACAGTTCAGAATTACTTTGTAAAATAGCTGTCTGTGAAATAATTAACTTGATAGTGAATTAATTGTCAGTAAAATAGCATATTGGTGAAGTGAGTGTTAGTGAAATCAATAAAACCTAAAAAATTATATATATTAATTTTATTCTTTATTATGTATATACTTATTAAATATTAAATAAAATACTTAATGGCTAATTATTAGTAAAAGTAAAAATTTTATAATTTTTACAATCTTATAGTTAATAGATTTTGTCTACAAAACTCAGATATAAAAAACTAACATATCTATTTATTTATTAATTTACCTTTATAATTATTAACTATGCTATTAAATTTTATAGCCACAATTTATACATCTACAAGATTTAATATATAATTATAATTAATTTTATACTGATTAAAAATTATTGTAATATTACATTCAAACTAAGAATAGCCTTTAATTAGAGATTATACAAATATAATAACTTTGTATTTTATTAATGATACAGTTTTTAATCAAAACTATTTAAAATTATAATTCTGTATTTAAAATATAACATCATTTTTAATTAAAAATTATACAAAAACAATGGCTTTGTATTTAAATAATAGTTTCATATCTAAACAATAGCTTTGCATTCAAAAAATGGCTTTATATTTTAACAATAATAAGTTTTTAATCAAAAATTATTTCAAAAATAATACCTTTACATCAAAATAGTAACATAACCTTTAAGGCTTTATCTTTTACTAGAGGTTTTATTCTTTATAGAGAGATCTAACTCTTTATAGAAGGATCTAACTTTATCAGAAATTTCACTATCTATAAAAAATTTGTCTTTATAGAGATTTCACTAGAGATGTGTGAATGCATATTTTTTTAGCTCCACATTGTATAATGCAGCATAATGCTAGTATACAACATTATGCAATCATAGTCTTCTACCAAAATCAATAAGAAGATTCATACCCAATCTTTCTTATCTTTAGACAGAAGCTTACAATTTTATAATATTTTCAAACTCATATTAGTTAACATACTTTATACAGATAGGAAATCACTAACTGATGCTACATATCACTTAGTATTTTATATGATATAAAATATAATATTTTATTGGTTTTTGTTGTATTAAAATTATATAGTAATTTTTATGTGCACTTTCATTATGTGATATTATGTTTTGCATAATATAATACACATAATGCAGAATACCTATCTCTAGATTTCGCAGACTTTACAGGTTTTCCAAATTTTGCAAGCTTTGTCAGTTTCGCCAGAAGTTTGTCATTGGTTTTGTTTTTTATTATTTTGCAAAAAGGTTTTGTCTAACAATATTAGTCAAAAGTTAATTTCAAAGCAAAAATCCATATGCATATTTCCAAAATTTGAAAATAAGTTAATATATAAATTGAAAATAATGTGAAACTTAAAGTTTATAGTAAATTTATATGTTTAATTATTAGTTTATTATACTAATACTAATATTTCAATAGGTGTAACATGCCTCTGACTGATAGCTTATTTAAAAATGCATCTTAGAACCTGTAGGTCAATAGCGCAGTGGTTAGTGCTCCTAGGTTACAATTGCAAGGTCACAAGTTCGAGTTTACTGGGTGATAAATAGCTCTGCCAAGACCACAATTGGCTAAGATCTTTGGAGGAATTTCTATTAAAAAAATGAAGAACAAGATTTATACAAGTTGCAGTCTGCTGACATAACCACAAGGTTGGGAATAACCAGATAAGGCATAATCTGTCTATCAACAAACAATGCTAAAATTGAGAAAACCCAGCTTTAAGATTACTAGAACTAGAATCAAGAATATCAAATATAAAAGGATGATCTGGCTTGTGGGTCATGTGATGTTAGGAAACTGCAGATCTAGAGAACATAGATCCTACACCGCGGCACCAGGAACCCGGGACGTCATATGACATATTTAACAGAGCATGAATTATCTCACCAGTACGGTGATATATAGGTGGCCAATTTGCCATACCAGTAATCTCCACAGATACAAAAACTCTGGCCTTTGAGAGATGTGAGAGATCTGAAGGTGTCTAAGGTCCTTCGAGATGTGGAGGAAGGTAAAAAAAAAAAAAAAAATGCATCTTAGAACTTGCATATACAGTATAAAGGAATAAATAAAAGTTTTCAGTTAACAAAACTAAGCAATTCATATATTTAATAGTGCAGAACGAAGTTTTATATTGCATAGTTGTTTTAATTAAAATCTTATCGATCACTTGGTCAGAAACGATGTGCATTATGGGTCGGTTACTAATCTTGATTTTTGTATTGGATTCGTATGATGTTGTGAGAACAGATACACTTAAATTCTGTTTCCTCTTACAACCTCTACACCGAATTTTATAACAATTTAAAGTTCGGTGTAGGCGGAGTTTGTTTAATTTATCTAGGATGGGATTAGAGAAGTTGACAGTATCTATCTTTAGGCATAGCTTTTTTCGAAATTAGAGAAAGATGACAATATAATTTATATAATTATTTTTGAAAGTTTATTAAATCATTAGATTACCATATTTAAACAGAACATTATTCAAATATTCTGAGAAAAGAGATAAAAAATATGTGATATACAAATCATATAGTCCACAGAAAAAAAGTATAGCAATCGCAAAAAAACTATTTTATATATTGTAGTAACCCTATTTAAATAAAAGAAAGATAAGCTGCGATATGAAATCGTTAGGTTTATATATTCTTATCCGCTAACCATTAAGCAAATTTTATTTTAAAGTGAATAAAAAAAAATAATAATAAATTATAAGCATTTAAAAAAAAGTAAAAAATAAAAAATAAAAATAAATTAAATTACGAATAATAACTATTTGACTTGAGCAAACCCACAAGCTAAAGGAGTATTTGCATTTAGTACCGAAATTGCAACCTCAATGATGTATGATGAAGACAAATCTGTTAAATTATATGTCGTGTTAACATTAAACACTTTAGTTGGACACTCAACTGTAGTGCAAATGTCTAATTCACCGACGAATAATAGAGCAGTGTTATTTTCAATTGCAAAGCTGAACATATCGCCAGCAACAATATTTTCATTGGTCGTTGCTGAAACTTTAACCTCGAGTGAAGAATTAGCTTTTGAAGGATCAGGATTAAGCGTTACATTAGTGATTATTGGAATACCTTCATATTCTGGACATCTCCCAAATGAAGTCTTCCTTTTAACCAGTTGAGATGGAAAAGCATTGACCATAGAAAGTGCGGCCAAAAAAACGAATAACAAGGTAAAATTTCGGATCATGGTAATTATTTGTTTTTATAAATGATAAGTTAACAAAAAAATTTTTTCTATAAAAATTTTTGTGTTTAAATATTGGGTATTGCTTTTTTTTTGTTTTTGACAAGAGTAATGTAAATTACTGCCTTATTATAGGAAAAAAACAGCACTTGATTTTCATTAATTCGTTTGATTTTGGCAATTGATAAAAACAAATCAAAATATTCTAACAATGTTGTATGAAACCTGAGGTTACATGATTTCTCCGACTATCACTTCCAGAAAACAATTTTATTATAACGATAATTCAAATCAAATATTAATTTAGTTTATGCAGCTCACATGTGAAATTTGAAGATCATTATTGCGGTTTGCAAAATTATGTGAAATTTGAAAATTGCTTGTTTGATCAACAACAATGATTCTTGTTTGATCAACAACAATGATTAACACTTCTAATTAGCAATTCAGCTTAGCATTGGACCTAAAAGTTCACAAATAATTTTCTTAAATTGCGTAAATTTTGGGTCTATTTTTGGAATGTATTTTCTAATTTCATACTGATAACATATAGATCAATTATTCAATTGGTATTACGGATTAATACATAGCCTTATATTTACAAGTCATTTTTATATTTTGTAAAATTTAACTGATTTAAAGGTTAATGAACTTGGACAAGTAAAATGCTTTTGCAAGAAAGCCTTAGAAATTAAGGGCTTTGCTACATAGATTAACGAAAAAAATCAGACACAATCGAAATTTCGTTAATGCAAACGAAAAATCATCTTTGTGTAACCTTAGTAATTTAAGTGCTGTTGAATTTTTAAAACTTTGGGCGAAGTTTTTTCCTGACCGAATTCGATAAAAATTTTTTATTTTAATTATGCGAATGTGGAGAAACAAAATAAGAAAAATTTTCATTCAATTTGGTTAGGAAGTTAACGAGAAAACTTCACTCAAAGTTTAAAAAATTTAGACACTTTACTGATAGATGAATCAGTTCTTTCTAAAATTAAGTGAGGTTTCTTGATAACTACCTAATAAAATTCTATGCTTTTTAATTTTATTTTAATCATACATATTTGTAGTATTAAAATAAAAAAAATTCATTGAATCTGGTTAGGTAATTATCGAGAAAACTTTGTTCAAATTAAAAAAAAAAAGCTAAAACTGTTTACATATATAAATGGATGGCTATGAAAGAGTTTGGTGCCAAGTTACTGAAAAATATTATAAAGAATGTATTAATACAACCATAAAGTATGTAGCAGCTTTATTATATTTTGAGGTTGTTCTTCTTAATGAAAAGTTGGTCTATTAGTAGAAGTAAAAGATAATATGAATTTGGATAGTTATATCTAGGGTTCCACATTTGATTTGATTTGATTTGATTTGATTTGATTTGATTTGATTTGATTTGATTTGATTCAAATATTTGATTTCAAATCAAATTCAAATATAGATTTTCAAATCAAATCAAATTCAAATTGAAAGATCAAATATTTGATTTGATTTGAAAATATTTATAAATAGATAAAATTTGAAGTTTTATAGTTTCAGAAGCTATTTTCTCAAAACTTTATTAATACAATTGCCAATTTGGTTTGTGAAACTAGGGCTATTTTAATTAGAAGAACATTTTTTATTTAATATACAAAATCGATTAGCTTAATAAAACTTTATGAAAATCTAAGATATTCTTAAACAGCTAAAATTTAAAGAGTTATAGTTCTAGAGGCTATTTCTTAAAATTTTATTAAGACAATTGTTAATTTAGTTTTATGAAACTAGGGCTATTTTGATTTGAAGAATATTTTTTATTTAATACATAAAATCAATTAGCTTAATAAAATTTGAAAAATTGAAGATATTTATAAACAGCTAAAATTTAAAGAATTAAAGTTCTAAAGGCTATTTTCTCAAAATATTATTAAGATAATCACTAATTTGGTTTTATGAAACTGTGGTTATTTTGATTAGAAGAACATTTTTTGTTTAATATACAAAATTAATTAGCTTAATAAAATTTTAAGGGTAGGGTATCTCATGATTTTAGAATTGTGTAATTAATCAATCAGAATGCTTGATTTTGTCAATCGATAGGCAAACTTGTTCATCAATGAGCAAAATTAAGCATTCTGATTGGTTAATTTATGTGACCCTAAAATCATGATATACACTACCCTTAAGAAAATCGAAGATATTCATAAATGGCTAAAATTTAAAAAGTTATAGTTCTAAAAGCTATTTTCTCAAAATTTAATTAAAATAATTGCTAATTTGGTTTTATGAAACTAGAGATATTTTGATTAAAAAAACATTTTTTATTTAATATACAAAATTAATTAGCTTAATAAAATTTTAAGAAAATCAAAGATTTTATAAATAGCTAAAATTTTAATTTGATTTGAAATTTTAAAATCAAATAATCAAATCAAATTCAAATCCAGATTTTTTAAATCAAATCAAATTCAAATCCAGATTTTCAAATCAAATCAAATTCAAATAAGTTAAATATTTGATTTGATTTTGAGGAACCCTAGTTATATCAATATACTTGCAAAACATTTTGTTTTTTAAGCAAATTCTTTATTTAAAAATTTCTAGATGAAATAAATTTAGTATTTTAACAAGATTTAGCTTTTATTCATATGTTAGACTATTCAGAATGGTGGATAAAGTCTTATAGTTTTAATATATTAGATTGGATGCCATATAGTTCTAATTTAAATCTGATCAAAAATCTTTGGGAATGTCTTAATTCAATATTACATAATAGAAGGCCAGCACCTGAAGCTTATGAAAAATTAGCTAAATATATATAAAAGAAATAATTCAAAATACTACTTGAGTATATTTGTTTACTTATTTGTTGTATGTTAGCTCATGTAATAGCAATTTATAAGGCCAAAAGATGATATTAGAAATATTAAAATGCAGTTTTTTTTTAAAAATTTAGTTTTAAAGTAGTTTCATTTTTATTTTATATAATTAATATAATTTTATTATAGAAATATAATAAATAAAGATTAACTGTAGTGCTAAGTATTTGTGCTAATAATGTGTATTAAAGTGCTGTATTGTATTAGCAAAATTGCAGTATAAAAATTTTTTGCTTATTGAACAGCTGTTGATTTATAAAAAAAATATAAAGAATAATTAAAAAGAAAAAACTCCTTAAATCAAATGCTAGTAAGTTGATAGATAAAAAAGGAAATCTATTTAAAAAACATTAAATCCTTAGTACTAATAAATGCATTAATTACTTTATTTATATGTAATAATAATATGACAGAGTGAAACCTATACTATTAATTAGTAAAATCTGTATTGATTATCTAAATTAAATGAAATCTGAGATGCAATATGTAACATGAATTTCACTCTATCATGCAGATTTTACTCTATCAAAATAAAAAGTTGTACCAAAACTTTGAATGAAGATATCTTAACAACTACTTGACCAAGCTTGATAAATTTTTTATATTTAAATTCTATAGATCCATAAAATTCAAATAAAAAATTTTTTATTGAATTTAATCAGGTGGTTGTCAAGATATCTTCACTCAAAGTTTACAAAAAAATTTGATACAGCTTCTATTATATTTTATTTTTTTAAAAAAAAATTTAAGCAAAGATATCTTGACAACTACTTAATCAAATTCAATGATATTTTTTTATTCAAATTCCATGGATCCATAGAAATTAAATAAAAAAATCACTGAATTTGGTTAGGTAGATGTCAAGATATCTTTACTCAAACTTTTAAAAAAATTTGGTATAGCTGTTCTGGATTGATGTTTTGACTTTTCTAAAACTTTGAATGAAGATATTTTGACAATCATTTGACAAAATTCAATGAAATTTTTGTATTTAAATTCTATGAATACATAGAATTCAAATAAAAAAAATCTATTTAATTTAATCAGGTGGTTGCTTTATTCAAAGTTTACAAAAAAAATTTGGTGCAGCTTTTATGTTTTAATTTTTTTAAAAAACTTTGAATAAAGATATTTCGACAACCTGATTAAATTCAATGAATTTTTTTTATTTGAATTCTATGAATTCATAGAATTTAAATAAAAACTTATTGAATTTAATCAGGTGGTTGTTGAGATATCTTCACTCAAAGTTTAAAAAATTTTGGAGCAGCTTTTATATTTTAATTTTTTTTAAAAAAATTTTGAGCAAAGTTATCTTGACAACCACCTAACTAAATTCAATGAATTTTTTTATTTGAATTCTATGAATCCATAGAATTCAAATAAAAAAATTTTATTGAACTTGATCAAATTGTTGTTGAGATATCTGTCATGTGGGTTAATAAATATGAATGTTCCACTTAATAATCCAGCCCAGTTTGTAGGCACTTTGGAGACTTATCAATGTTCGTATAATGACGGATGGTCAGTTCAAGGTCTTTACTCACAATGCACGTACACCCACAACAACGTCCATGATACTTGAGGAACCACAAAGCTATCGGGCACCAGGACCAGGTTATATTCATTATAGTATGCTCAAAAGAACGTTATAAGGAAAAGGTATTTTTTGGAATGAGAAATATATTAGAGGATTTCCAGTTTGTGGGAACTTTTTGAAGTTAGAAACATTTGTTAAAGAACTTTCTAAAAAGTTTTTGTGCTTTAGAGCTAGAATGTTTGATATGTTTATAGCAAATTTCTGATGGACCAGCAGCTTTTTGGTTGGGTAGGTTAGTTATGATATCTAGCCATTCTTGGTCTGTAA